ACCCACGAAAGCTTATGCCCAAATAAATCTGTTAGTCTTTAAGGTGCCACCAGACTCCTTGTTGTTTTTTCTTACTACTTACTAATAAAAGAGTTGTAAAATATGTATGGTGAACTAAGGATAGTAAATAATTTCAATATTACATGATGTAAAGCATCCTTAAACCTGCCAGACACATGCATATGTGCACAGATATGTAAGTACACTGCAGACACATCATCTATCCATACTACACATACCATTTGTGCCCTACTCCGCCCTTTTAAAATGCCGGTCTTTTTCCCAAGCTGTCCATCCGAAAAGTTCTCCTTCACTGCTGGTTTTCAAGAGAGTTAAAAGAAATTTCCCTGTTTTTCTCCCCACCAAACGTGTCTAAGTAGAAGGTCTTATGTCTGCGCTAACTCTGCATGCACAGGTGCATATGCACACATCACATCCCCCTGTGTGCACAAGTGCGGACACACCATGTGCACGGACTTAAACACACCAGGCAGACACCACACATATCTGCGCCTGCACCACGTGGGCACAGGACTCCCGTGCACGCCGCGCGTAGACAGCCCGGCTGCTGAGCCCTTCGCCGCAAACCCGTCCCGCTGAGCCAGGCTTGCTAGCGAGGGGGGAGGGGGCGTGTCTCTGGCGGGAGGGGGCGGTGTCAGCAGCCGGCAGCGACGCCCCCTGGAGCTGGTGCTGGGTTCCTCCCGGACGGTGTAGGGTAGCGGCGGCGTGGCCTGCCGGGCGGCTGGGACACATGGGGGACGCGCTGGACGAGCCTTGGTGGGCGCCTCAGCCCGGAACACACAGTAGCAGCGACGGCAATAGCCCAGGTATCTGCTCGCCACGTGGGGCGCTTGCTCCTCCCTTTGCTGGGCTCACAGCAGCAGCCCCCTTCACTGGACTCCCCCTCCCCCTTTCATTCCCTTCCCTTTCCTCGTCTCCCTCACCTCCCTTCCGTCCTCACACAGACCCACTCCCCATTTCCTCTCAGCGTGCCCCCCTTGCTCCTTCCTTCTCTCCAGCGGCCCTTCCTTCCTCCCGTCTCCCCTCCTCTCTCCGCCAGAGCTGGGTGCAAACATTTCAAGTTTGCTTGTAAACAAAATGTCCAGTCTACATTCCCCTTCCGCGGGAGGCGTTAGAAACAGAAAACAGTAAACAGAAATAGTCACTGAAATAGACAATTTATATTTAAATAAAGATGGGGGAGAGGAACTGGATGCTTTGAGGTTAGAGCTTATCTGGTCCCTGGCTTTATTAAGCTTATAAAGTATATTCTCTTCTGATTTGGGACTTCTGGTCTTCTTCTGGGTATTGGCAGGGCTGAGTACTGTACACTGATGATACTTAGGTTTCTAAAAGGCTTTTGAAATGTGGCATTTATAAAACCTTTCGAGGTAAACACGTACAGCAGCTGGTGGGACTGGTCACTGTTTATCACTAGTGTCATGTATCTCAGAAGGATAGGAACTGAATTCTCAACTCTTCCCTCAACCACGTTATTTGGTTGATGCTCTACAACTGCTTTGCCTCATGATGATAATTATTATTAATATATAGCTCTTATAGTGCTTTTTCATCAGTAGATCTCAAAGCACGTTAGAAAGGATATCTATGAAGGTATTAGGCTGCTGCCAAACTGTTACAGTTAACATTGATGAGGTTTTTTTTTTTAAATGTAATGTCTACACTGCATTGTAAATCTGGGTCTGCTAAACGAGTGGTCTTGGACCTGTCCCATAGTGGGACTCAGACCCATGCATCTTGACAGGTTTGCAGGCCTGAGTCCTAAGAGGTTTCTGGCATGAGCCAGAAGGATTTGTGTGTGAACATTATGGGGTTTGGTCCTAAACCTGAGTATGAGCCTGGTCTAATTATGGTACAAATATAACTGAATTGGAGGACCTACCTAAAATATGGTTAAATTCTGTCTACGACTGGTTCTCAACCAGATGTACGTGTACCCTTAGGGGTACGCAGAGGTCTTCCAGGGGGTACATCAGCTCATCTAGATATTTGTCTAGTTTTACAAGAGGCTGCATAAAAAGCACTAGCAAAGTCAGTGAAAACTAAACTTTCATACAGACAATGACTTGTTTATACTGCTCTATATACTATACACTGAAATGCAAGTACAATATTTATATTCCAATTGATTTATTTTATTATTAGAAGGTAAAAATGAGAAAGTAAGCCATTTTTTCAGTGATAGTTTGCTGTAACACTTTTGTATTTTTATATCTGATTTTGTAAGCAAGTAATTTTTAAATGAGATGTAACTTGGGGGTATGCAAGAGAAATCAGACTCCTGAAAGGGGTACAGTAGTTTGGAAAGGTTGAGAGCCACTGGTCTACGCTACAAACTTTAACTGTGTTGCAACTGTTTTAGGTGATAACTGTGTTGTAGTAGGGTCCTCTGAGTTGGTTGTACTGAGGGAACATTAGGGGTTCATAGGTAGGGCTTAGAAAGTGAGAGTGTTAAGTGAAATCCTGTGATATGATATCTATATGGTTGGATGGAGTGCTTTGTTTTTGTGAGAGCATCTTGTAATTATTTTATTGTGAAATTTTAGATTTTACAATGATTTATTTTTAAACTTTGAGGGCATACCCGTGGTTCGAGGCACCAGAGAAATACTTCATGAAATCCTCTAGGGACTTCAGTTTTGCTATCTATTTTATGTGGAAGGTGCTCGATACTATGGTGATGGCAGAAGTATAAACCCCTAAAATAATTAAAAATAGAATACATTTATGTCACAGCCCTGTCCCCGTGTTGGACCCACATGCTGGGTTCATGTGCATTAAGTTCTCCTCTCCTGGGCCTTAGTAGGCTCTTTCTTTGGCCTCTAGGCTCACTGCCTGGGCATTGATTCTCTGTCTGGTACTCTCTTCATAAGTTGGACTGTGTAGCCTGGCTGCCTTAGCCCCAGGACCAGTGCTTCACTGCCCTGTAGATTAAGCACATCCTTTTCAGAGCTCCACTCTAGTGTGTGTCACGGTTACTGGGTTAGCTGCACTGCTGTCCCTTCTTGGGGTCTCTCTGAGTGCATCCCACAGGCATCAGGCCTTCACCTCTGCTGGAGTGGAATTCCACAACTCACCCACTCTCAGACCCCAGGACCTGGGTTACACCCCTTTGGTAACTAACCATGACCAAGTCAGCAGATCCAACTGCCGATGGACCCTGCCAGCATTTCCCTTTGGGAGCTGGTGACAGCAGTTGACAAAGTGACTCAAAACAGTCTCTTCAAAACAAAGTTTTGTTCATTCATTTCTCAAAGGCACAAAGTATTTAGACTGAAGTGTAACAACAGTAAAAGGGCTACGTGCAAAGGTGGTGTTTATATTTTTGTAAGTTCCCCTCAGCTCAGTTAACTTAATCTCTTGCCGTGAGTATCAGCTTGTCTTGCTCACAGCATCTGTATCTCTGTGTGTCTCAGTCACGCTGTCAATCTTTTCACTGACACATCCTGGCCAGCCTCTCTCAGCTTACCCTCTAAGCTGCCTCCCTTTTCTAGGGTCTTTAGTTCTTTTGCCTCCTTTGATCCCAGGCTTGGGGAGGATGCCCCATTCTAGCCTGGATGGAGCCAACCATTGTTATCTTACCTCCTTTGAAGTTGGGTACATCAGAGCTATCTTGTCTGTGTCATTGTTTTACCTTTCCTGGATTTCTTAACGACCCCCCTTTTCTAGCCTCCTTTGATTCAACTGTATGTATCCAGGAAGTGTTAATGCTAAACTGAACAGGGAAACAGAGTCACATGTAATATTTATAAAAATATAATACAGACATTTTCTCATTTTGTCACAGTGAGTACTCCTGTTTACAGTTTAATTGTTTGGGGACACGTGGTTGAAGCCAGTAGGACACAGACTTTGCAGAGAGATTTCTTAAATTAGTCACTTTTTATTTGAGACAGCGCAAGAGATATACAGATCCATGTAAAATAAGAAACACCTCTATGCCATTCCCTGCCTGAGTTTACTCACCACTCTTCCGCATTCTTTGGGATTTGGTCCTTGTCCTTTCAGGCTTCCAAATCCCCTCTTCTGGGCTTCTCTCCTCCTGTACACATTTCTCTTGGTGAGAGAGAGCTGGTCCTTTTATAACTTCTAGTCTTCTTTCCATGTGAACCTCCTGGTCAGCCTCAAGGTCCCCCTCATGTGATATGATGCTTGGTTACCACCCACCTGGAGTCCAGATTTGAAAAACTGGTTTATTGCAGCTTTGGCCACACTCTTTGGCATAACCATTGCTCAGCTAGGGTAGGGGCAGGACCTATTCAGTTGTTTGTGGTTCTTAAAGACCGTATCAGTCAGAGGCAGGTACTCAGGCGCTGCTCCCTCTCTCCTTAACATAAGAAGTGTGATGTACGAATACATGCAAAAGCCAGTCAAACAGCCTAAATATACAGAGTTCATAACATGAAACTGGAATTCATAAGTTGTACATAGATAAGTCCCCCAAATTGTCTTATAAAAATGATGGACCATAAATCTTATTGGAATACATCATAAAATCTCACAAGAGTGAGGTGTGGTATAAACTGATGTCAACTGGATGATGTTTCAAAAATTGCCAATTTTGTGCCACTGCGTGGATGGTAATATCCTGAATTATTGGTGCAGGGCCACATATACTTGTAATGGATTGCATTACTGGAGTAAAAAGTGTTCCACTCTAATAATACTCTCAGTGCTCTTATCCTGTAAGGCTTTGAATTCCAAGTGCTGAATTTCAGACTGTTTTTCACTTCTGTGTTGTATCTCTCAGTAGTAAAATGTTCTGTTAACATTAAAGCTGCCTTGTATCCAGCTCTCTGTGACTTGCTGAATACAGATTATTATTTTTGTTACTACTACTACATGTTCATGTTTGGCAAGGTAAAGTGAGGTGGACTCTTGTTGACTAGACATTTGATGTTGGAAGCGAGCAGCAAAAATGAAACAAAAAACACTTCTGAAATTTAATATGGTGAATTCACAGGCTTGTGAAAAGGGCTGTAAGCACTGACCCCGAGTGCATGCTCTTCCTCTTCCCCTCCCCATATCAATACATTGTGCTTGTGCCCATTGTTTTTAGCCCTGAGGCTAACTGCTCCATGCTGTGCCAGTAGTTATTGCAGAATATTCATCCAAAAATAAAATATGGTTGGTCCAACTGGAAGTGTAAGTGTAATGACATAAAATGTGGAGCTCAAGAAGCAGTGTTCTTTTTTTACTGAGAACATTACATGAAAGAGCACTAAAAGATCTGAGTACCTAAACATCTTTTCCCATCATGTAATCCACATAATATGATGATACTGGCATACAGCCAGCTACAGCAGTTATTTTACAGTCCATTAAAGAATTACTAAAGAATTGAATTTTCAGATAGCATGTTTGAGTATTACTGTGCAAGATGCTATTTGGGAACAGAATATAAGCAGCTTTCTAGGTCGTGCAAATCCTGGAAGGTGGTGGATCTGGGCTCCATGGCAGTCTTACCTAATCAGAGCCCAGTAATGTTAAGTGGTAACAAAAACTTGCAGTGAACAAATTGGCATGTGGTATATAGTTGCATCATCATTCTTAGCTCCATTTATGCTGAATTCTCCATCAATTATCCCGTGGATAGGACTCTGAAGTAAGAATTTTTTGAAACCTGTCAACCATAAACATATAAGTACTTGGTTTCTAGAACACACAGGATAATCTGTCATGATGGTTACTGAAGTGAAGTCCCAAAGTGTGCTCTAGCAAATTGAATGTAAAGCATGAATGTGGAGGAAATTATATGGTAGATACATAGGAGCCCTTTTTCTCTCAAAATCTCTGATATTATTCT